GAGTTACTCTGCGTTAAATTTCCATGCTGACATTATTATCGGTGTTAGTGCTGGTTCCCAAGTAAACGAAATTCTCACCTTTCTCGAAATTATAACTGTCAACAGTGACGTGGGTGCCAAGGCGCGAATGTGCTGGCTGTTTGTTCTATGATAGGAGATACTTTGTCTTGTCCTTGTTTATAACTAGACCCATTCGCTTTGCTTCCTTATCCAACTAGGAAAGGGCAGAACAGACTTCGCGGTTTTTGATACCGATGATATCGATGTCATCGGCATCAGCCAGCAATTGCATGCTCTTGTAGTAACTTGTTCCTGAGTGGTTCAGTTCTGCAGCTCTTATTATATTCTCCAACATCAAATTAAAGAAACCACATGAAAGAGAGTCACCCTGTCTGAAGCCCCGTTCGGTGGCTAACGGCTCGGAGAGGTGTTTCCCAATTCTAACGGAGCTGGTGGTATTGCTCAGCATCATTTTACACAGCCGTATCAGTTTGGCGGGAATACCAAATTCAGACACAGCGGTGTATAGGCAACTCGTCGGGCATGCGTTCATCTGACCATATTATGCCTAAGAGTTGATGCATGCACCTCATCAACTCCTCGCCACCGTACTTGAATGGTTCAGCTGACAGACTGTCAGCTCCAGCAGCTTTGTTGTTTTTCAGCCGCGTTATTTGTATTCGTACCTCGCCATGGTCAAGCGGAGGAACATCGACTCCGTCATCATCGACTGGGGGCTCGGACTCTTCTTCTCCACAACCTTCCGTGCTGCTACCATTCAGTAGCGTGGAAAAATGTTACCTCCATAATTTAAATACGTTCTGCACTTCGGTAACTCTGTCTCCATTGTTGTTCTTACAGTAGCACGCCCTGATCTTGAAACCTTCCGTAAGTCGCCCAACTCTCTGGTAAAATTTTCGGGCATTCTGCCTGTCGGCCAGCATTTTAAGCTCTTCGCACTCTCGTATTTCGGCGTCTCTCTTCTTATTGCGGCAAATACGTCTTGCTTCCCTCTTCAGATCCCTATAGCGTTCCCACATGGCTCGCGTTGCGCCCGATCGCAACGGGGCCCTGTAGCCGGCATCTCTTTTCTCTGTCAGCTTCTTGACACTCCTCATCGTACCAGCTTTTTTTCGGGCTCGCTGAAATCCGACTTCTTTTTCCGTGGCGGTACTTAATAATAATAATAGATTGGCGCTTACACATATGTTAGTGTTTGGCCGAGCTTCTCCTCCGATTTGTGGCGTGCGCCTTGAAGTTGTCACACAAAGCGGAGGGACCTACAGTTTTACGCCGACTCCGAACGGCGATTGTATTTTTATGAGAAGTTGTTTTTCATGACAGAAAATAATTTATGCAAGCCCTTCTATCATATCGGCGGATTTCAGATCGTACAATTTTGTTGTAAATCTATGTACAAGTTCGCTTTTCCCGAGCATAAATTGTAGCAAATGACAATTATTCTAAGTCATTCTAAGTCGCCGGGAGCTATCACCAAACGGTTAATGTCAAAATTTTCTACTGGAACATTATCAAGAAAAGTTTCTTGGCCACCAACATTAGGCTCTTCAACAATTGGTTCAACGGGTGGGTGAACATTTGAGGATATATTATGAGAAATAACTTGTTCCCTATAACTATTTTCAATCAACGGATCATCTTCAACAGACGCAATAAAATGAACTTCTTCTTGGTTACTAAAGTTTGAAATCCAATTTTCGTTGACTTCAATATTGTGATCACTGTATAAAGGGGTGTTAACTAAAAACCGCAAGGCTTCCATAATTTTTGCAGGTCGTATGGTATCCGTCATATAATCGTGACTGTATTCCATACGCCTTCTCAAATGAATTTAAATGACATGTGTTTGATCAAACGATCGAGGAAGACATGTCACAATGTCATTCACGGAAATACGGACATTTACAACAGCACCATTTAGTGAACCATGCCCTTGATACCGCAATGGACGAATCGTCATGAATGGTAATCTGGGCATAATAAGATGCTCTTCTATAGGTGTTAGATTTTTCAGGCAATCAGGTATTTCTGTAAAATCTAGTCCATTAGCGAGACGTAACTTTGGGAGCTTTTTATTCTATATTGCATTTCTGCAAGTCACACAAAAATTAAAATTTTCATTTTCGGAGGGGAAATTATCCAAAAGATAGAAGGCTTATGCAACATTAGGGTGGCTTTTGGAAACTAATTGAAGTTTAATTGGCGTACTTGGTGTGGAAAGCATAAACCCCCACAGGAAGTACAAACTATTGTTGGCCCATTTTTAATGCTTTGTAAATAAGTGCGTCTGAAGTTATTAAAGCCGGCACCATTTTAAGAATCTTCATTATCAGCATTACTATCACGTATTGATCGATTTCACTCTGACTGTCTCTCATTTTCATTTTGTCTATTTTCTACGTCAACTCCATGACTCAATAATACAAGGTTGTGTAATTTGTGACAGCTAAAATTTGACACTCCTTTATCTAGATTTGTATTTTGGAAGTAGGAGAAAGGGGAAGAATGTGATGGCATTTTGCGAAAACGGTAGTAGAATGGTACTACAAAAAGTACGCAAGGTATACAATTAGAAGTAAAATGTTTATTATTAATTCTATGCGAATTTGCAATATATTTGGTGTTTTAATGGAAATACTAACCAATACATAAAATATGCATTTTTGATTTAAGTTATTCGTCATTTCCGGGAACAAATCTAGAATACCGACCGTTCAGCTATGCAAAAACGAAATATGCAGATCAATAGAACTTTTTATGCTCATTTCAACCATGCCAAAATGATTTGGCGCAAGTAAAAAATGAAGAGGTTCTAGAAGGTTAAAGTTCAGTTTTTAGTTATTTTAAATATTAATTAGTCTGTTCCTTTGAACTTCGCACTAAAACCTGTGGAACTGTCAAACGGGAGCGCAAACAGCACTATTTCCTGTAAAAACGTCAGTCGGTTTGTTTACATGTCATTTGTACAACACTGATTTGGCTGAAATATCACTAAATAATTATTAAAATCTATACATATTCAAACATTTCGTTGTTTACTTCCATTTTTTTACAAATATAAAATTCTTTGCTTTCACCGCTTTTTGTTTCTGCTTGTACATGCAAATCAGCTGATCGTTTGGCACTTTTCATGAACTTACAGGAAAAAAAAACTCCGGACTAAATCCTGTAACTTCTGACTAGGAACGGTTGCTCAGTTACTCTCTCAAAAGTGTTCCCACTTACAGGTTTTCTGTCAATAGGAACGACTGCCTGTAAGTTCTGACTAAATCCTGTAAACCGGACTGCTATTGGAACATACTAAGGGCCGGTTACTCAATGTCTGGTTAACATTAATCTGCGGTTAAACATCGTTATCGACGTCTTCGACTCCATGCATATAACAGGAAGTCGGTAACGTCGATAACGATGTTTAACCGCAGATTAGTGTTAACCAGACATTGAGTAACCGACCCTAAATATCTTATGAACTTTATAACCGATTAAAAAACTAATGACGTCACCATAAAGGTAATTAATTTTTCCTTCAGCTGATGTACATAATTTATAGCTTTTTGTATTTTTAAACCAAAACCACTAAAAAACGAACAAATGTTATTTTTTCATGAAATAACCTTTTTTGAAAAAACCGCATAATTAATGGTAAAGAAATTTATATTATTAAGAAAGTACAAGTTATTATCTTTAATTCGATATTACATATTTTATTATGATCTACTTTTGGGTTTCAACAATTTAGTGATAATAAAAAATACAAATAAACCTCTTATATCTTCTTTATTTTTTACCTGCGCCAAATAAATTTGGTATCGTTGAAATCAGCGAAAAAAGTTCTATCAATCGGCATTTTTGGTTATTTTATAGCTAAACGGCCGCTATTCTACACTTGTTGTAGAAAATTACGCAAACGAAGGTGACGCCAACGAATATTTAGTATGAAGAATTTTTGGTTTTACTACTAATATCACTAGAAACTATAGAGTAAGCAACATTCTGCACAAGTAAAGGAGCCGATTTTATGTGTGGGAGCGAGAAGACTATTTTATTACAAAACCTTACTGTTATTGAATCATGCGTCAACTCTATGAATACGTACTCGACATTGAATTCGCCGTCTCAAATCAGGCGTGTTATCCCGAATTTCTTTTCTTGTGAGTCGGCGACGTTCTGTTTCCTGACCACGCTGATTTTCTCTACGTTCAGTATCTAATCGAGCTTGGTATCTTTGGGTACGATCACGTCATCGTTCCAAATGTCTGTATTCACTTCTGCTGCGCAGGACTCTGCGAGCTTCAGTATTGCTGGATTGCTCCACAGACCGAATTACTGAATTTTCGCGTCGACATCTATGCTGAATAGTATTCCTGCTTTGCTCTGCAGTACGAATTACGGAATTTTCACCGCGATTTCTATGTTGTATCGTATTTCTAATTTGCTGAAAATACAGAATCTGAGGATTATCTCTACAAGACCTATGCTCTTGGGTAATCCTCACCTGCTCAACAGAGCGAATTGCAGAGTTTTGGCGGCGATATCTATGCCCCTGGGTATTCCTCTCCTGCTCAGCAGAGCGAATTCGAGAGTTTCCGCGGCGAGATCTATGTTGTCGG